TTTATCACACGGAGGCAAATTGCTTAAATCCCATGCAGAAATGGGATTTAAAAATCTGAAAACCTCGGCAAAAGCAGGGTTTTTTCCAGACGTGTTTGTGTAAAGGAGAAATAATGTGACATTAACCCAAATGGAAAGTCACCCAAACTCACTCATTTTAACTTTTTGAAGTTCCTGAAAGTAAAAAGGAGTGGGTTTTGGCAACTTTCCATTTGGATTAACAACGCGTTATTTCTCTTGATGCCAACGTTGTGCGAAAAACAACCTGCTTCTACGAGTTATTTCTACTTTCTGTTCGGGTTAGCCCTGAACTACGTGTGAAAAAAGCGGGTTGTTTTCACTTTAAATCCAGTTTCTGCATGGGATCAATCCTGTGTGATAAACTCCTAGGTTAGATTATTGTTATTGTGTGCCTCCAAGTCATTTTTGACTTATGGCAATCATAAGGCGAACCTATCATGGGGTTTTCTTGGCAAGTTTCTTCAGAGGGGACTTGCCATTGCCATCCTCTGAGACTGAGTGTGTGTGACTTGCTAAAGGTCACCCAGTGGGCTTTTATGCTTGACGGGAAATTGAACCCTAATCTCCAGAATCATAGTCCAATGCTCAAACCACTGCACCAGGATTCCTTTGTAAGTAAAAGGTTAAATTAAATGTTGCTTATTCTGTCTTCTTAAATCGGTGAGAAGGAATAAAATCCTACCATTTCACCTTGATCTGGGAACCACCCCTTTTGCTAAAATTCCTATCATAATTTCCAAGCAAGACAATCTGTTCCCTGTGTGTGTGTGTGTTCGAATGACAAGCTGTGAATAATTGTTAGTACTTAATGAATAATGCTGAATGATATCACCAGGGACTATCCGTAAATCTCAGGTTTTGGCCTGGAAATCTCAGGACCTGGGATCTTGAATTGGCAAACCTAGATGACATTATGAACAATCTGTGCAAGTTTGGGACCAACATACAAACTGACTTCTTTTCCTCAGAAAATTGCTGGGTTTGCTTTTTCTTTTCTTTTTTTTTTTTTTTTTTTGTATGGAAATTAGCATTAAGCAAATGTTACAAAATACAGGTTCCACTACTCATACTTTGCTTTCATTTAAATCATAATGAAAACCATCAGTGGCAGCCTCATCAATGCTGAGTAGATTTCCTAGTTTCCAATATACAATGGGGCAGAAGAAATGTAGTTTGTATTATTCCCCCCCCCCCCTTATCAACATAAATTCCACTCAAAACTGGGTGTTTCTGGGCAAAATAAGAATGTAGGCTAAGACCTGTCAGATCTGACTATAGACTTATCTAGTCTATCATTATGTTCACAGTGTCCATGGCAGATATTTGCCCATGGGAAACCCACACATTGGCTACATGCACAAAAGAGTGTGGCACTGTTTGTGATACCAAAGTGCAACAAAGAATAACTATAGTAAGAAATGGACAAGTGCCACTTTTAAAAAAAATTCTTTGGAAATAAACTATGCTCAGAACTTTAGCTTCAAAATATTACAGTAATCTGTTTGTAGATGAAATGTTTAAATTGTGCATTGTATGTTGTATGTCTCGTATCAGCATCATCACTAGCAATGAACCAACTCCCTTGGACTCAGCGGGAAATTCAGTTTGGAGAGCCAAGCTATTTTGACCCAAAGTTGCAAACTCACTTTGAACCACCTTGATTTCTATATGGGGAGAAAAGTGGGATATAAATTAAATAATTACATTTTTTTAAAAAGGACAACTCCAAATTGAGACTCAGACATGCAGAGTCTCTCAGAGGGTTTATTGGCTTAGGATAGATACTTAGGGAGCGATTCCTGTTCCTTAAACAGACCCCATGTATGTGTGAGGCTCCAGTGAGCCTTGTGACAAGTTAAAGGAGGTTGTAATGGGGCAGAGAAGTACTTGCTTTATGGAGATTTGTAGCAAGTTGTCCCACATTTTCCTATCCCCTGTCCTTTTATCTCCAATATCAGGGTAAAGTAACAAATAAGTATAAGCAGGGCTTTTTTTTAAATGAAAATGCACACAATAAAACAGAATCCAGAACTGATTCAATATGAATTCTAAAAATGATATTAGAACTTGTGAGACAAAAGATGGCCCTCAGCTACATATCACCTCCTCCATCACACACACACTAAATTCTGATAATCCAGGAAAGCCAATAATTGATAACATCAATCAACATAGTTAATACATCTCAGAGTTACACAGTTGCCCATCTCAGCAACTTGCAAAGCCTTTCTTACCTATTCTGTATTTGAGAAATCATAAGGAAATTTCCAGTGTGTGGCCATAGCAATCCTATTAGTAGAATATTAAATTTTCTAACGGGCTCTATCAGTAGTTTTCACCAGATTCTTCATACTGTTCAGCAAGATCACAAAAACTGTGTCAGGTTATACCTGGCCTTCCACACCTTGTAGGACACAGCCACAATTGCTGTGTGAGTGTTTGCACCTTCACATTTAATGTCAGCCCCACACATTTCTTAGGGTTTTCTTAGGCAAGGAATACTCAGAGGTATTTTTGTCAGTTCCTCCCTCTGAAATATAGCCCACAGCACCTGGTATTTATTTGTGGGTGCTCTCCCCTCCAAGTACTAACCAGGGCTGACCCTGCTTAGCTTCCAAGATCACTGCTACTTGTTTACAAAACTGATACTTCCTCCCTTGAATGTTCCTTGCTGGGAATGGAAAAGCAAGATAAAATCTCATAATTAAGCCATGTCACCACTGAGCTTGGAAATGTTGCTTTTTGGACTATAACATCCATGCAGGCTGTGGGATTTAATGCCAAAATATAACTATTTTGATTTTGATCAATGTGTGAATGTCATCTCAGGTCTAACACAGACAGTTGGAACTTTCCTGGCACCTGATATGACCTCATGCCAGCCCTAGACCATGAGCAAGTATCTGAAATGAGATAGGATCTGGAAATCATGAACCCTGGGATCAGCCAGTGGTTAGAGCTGAAGAGTTCCTTGGAATTGAAGAACAAATCAGGGTTAAGGAACAAAGTAGAAATCAGGATAAAACAACAGCTAACATGCTGTTGGAACATTTTGAGCTCTGTAATGCAGAAACATTCTAAAGCTCAAAAAGATCTTCCCTGAAACAGGACGTCGTCTATAGTACAAGAAGGCTTGGTAAGAGGAGTTAGCCCAAGGCTTGTGGATACTTTACTGAGAATCTGCCACCTACAGTTTGATGGTTCACAACACAGAGAACCTGGCCACAGGTTCAGCACTCCTAACATCTTAGGTGGTGTGTGGATGGGACAGGGAAGTCTGGGAGCAGCTTGGAATTTCCTGGCCCCAGAATTCTCACTGTTACCTGGGGCCCTTTCTTCTGACATCAGGCAGCTGTTCACAAGCGCATCTTACTGTCCTGTTCAGCTCCCATGATGGCGAATCTGAAGTCAGAACAAAGCACCCAACCTTGATCACATGGTTGGGTGTGTTGTTCTGATCTCAGAGTGAGAGACTCATCATTGCTGCAGTGGGTGGCGCACACCAAGATGTGATTTAAACAACCACCTGGCGTTAGAATGGAGAGCTCAGGATCTTCCTCAAACCGGGAGA